CAATGTGGCCTGCCTGAGGAAGGAGAGGGCCCCCAGAGTGCCACCAGCCATGGACTGGGACAATCCGGCAATCTTCCCTGATGACGACAGTGGTCGGCTGCTGTGGTGGTGAAATCCTTTCACAGCATTAATGTTCAGGTGAACATAACTTTTTGATATTGTCCATTGATGAACAGTGTGCCTTGCCAGTGATGTGCATTGATTGGTTTAATATTCCTCATCTTATGATTTCAGATCGTCTGCAATGCTGACTGTGTGATCAGCAATGTTGTGGCAAAATGGCCTGGCTCAGTCCATGACTCCAGAATCTTTCGGGCCTCTGAAATCTATCGGCGCCTATCACAAGATGAGCCACACAACCCCTATTAACCACGTTTTACATCATGGCTGTGTCAATAATATCACTGTGTTTATGAGGTAGTAATGATGAGATTTTGTGTTGACATGTGAATTCTCTGGTGTGTTGCTGGGAGACAGGGGGTATGGCTGCCAGTCCTTTCTCCCAACACCTTTCACAGAAACCCAGGAAGCACAGCAGGCCTACAACCATGCCCATGCCTGGACCAGGGCCAGAGTTGAAATGACCTTTGGCCTCCTGAAGGCACGCTTTCACTGCCTTCACAAATTAAGGGTCAGCCCTGTGAGGGCATGTGACATTACTGTGGCTTGTGCTGTCCTCCACAATGTGGCCTGCCTGAGGAAGGAGAGGGCCCCCAGAGTGCCACCAGCCATGGACTGGGACAATCCGGCAATCTTCCCTGATGACGACAGTGGTCGGCTGCTGTGGTGGGGAAATCCTTTCACAGCATTAATGTTCAGGTGAACATAACTTTTTGATATTGTCCATTGATGAACACTGTGCCTTGCCAGTGATGTGCATTGATTGGTTTAATATTCCTCATCTTATGATTTCAGATCGTCTGCAATGCTGACTGTGTGATCAGCAATGTTGTGGCAATCCATGACTCCAGAATCTTTCGGGCCTCTGAAATCTATCGGCGCCTATCACAAGGTGAGCCACACAACCCCTATTAACCACGTTTTACATCATGGCTGTGTTAATAATATCTCTGTGTTTATGAGGTAGTAATGATGAGATTTTGTGTTGACAGGTGAATTCTCTGGTGTGTTGCTGGGAGACAGGGGGTATGGCTGCCAGTCCTTTCTCCTAACACCTTTCACAGACCCCCAGGAAGCACAGCAGGCCTACAACCATGCCCATGCCTGGACCAGGGCCAGAGTTGAAATGACCTTTGGCCTCCTGAAGGCACGCTTTCACTGCCTTCACAAATTAAGGGTCAGCCCTGTGAGGGCATGTGACATTACTGTGGCTTGTGCTGTCCTCCACAATGTGGCCTGCCTGAGGAAGGAGAGGGCCCCCAGAGTGCCACCAGCCATGGACTGGGACAATCCGGCAATCTTCCCTGATGACGACAGTGGTCGGCTGCTGTGGTGGTGAAATCCTTTCACAGCATTAATGTTCAGGTGAACATAACTTTTTGATATTGTCCATTGATGAACACTGTGCCTTGCCAGTGATGTGCTTGTATGGATTTGTCCTGCATTTATTTCAGTGTGCAGACATGCGGGGTGTGTTATATACAGACCTTTTGAATGTGTATTTATCCTTTTGTTGTATAATATGCTTTGATTTTGTGCTTTCCATCTTGTAGAGTCACTGTGTGACTTCAGTTTCGAAAGGAGCTGATGGTTTACCTGCTTTGTTTTATCCTTATTCAATAAAGGAACATAATGTTACACTTTGTGTTTTTATATTTATATGGAATGTGTATTTTATATGACAGAGTATTAAGGCCACACTAAGGAAGAAGGAAAAAGTCATACATTTATGAGGCTGGTTCTTTTTTCCCTAAAAGATGCATATTCTTTTTACAGTCCTGATACATATGACAATGTGATGCTGATGTGCCAAAAGATTAAGTATGTCCTTGATTGTGGAACCATACTGAAGACCAATTCCACAAAATGCCCCACAGCTGTCATTTTAACAACTGTCCTCCTCTAAAACAACGGGTTACAATATTATTAAAGACTTCATTATCGAAGTCTGTGAATGTTCTTTTTTTTCCCTGTGTGGCCCTAATATTCTATCATTTTATATAAAGCCTTGTAGTCTATGGGAAACTGTAAATTATCTAATGATAGCAACATCATCTAAAAGTCATTTATCCAAAATGATTGAAATTAATGATCACAAACGTTTAAACAATGACAGTGGGTCTAATTATATGTGATAACAATGTATAGTGTGCAGTGAAATAACTATTGGTTTCCGTTTGTGGTGACTGCTGACTGACATAAGGGATGAGATTAAATAAATCCTGGAACTTAGCCTGGTCTGGAGCAGGCTAGCTCCAAGAATAAATCTCCATGGTAATTTATACCATAACATCCTACCGCCATCTAATCCAGCTTTAGTGCAACCGGATCACGGATAAATTGAGCCAGGATCACCAAGATATCCCGGCTTAATCCCTTATCCTAGTTTTGTGCAATAGGCCCCTGGTGATTGCTCCAGGTGAGTTTCATTACAAAATAAAGCATCACATGCTGGAAATACAACAATTTCTGATGATTTTGAGAAGGTGTCAATAATTCTGCCCAGTCTATTTTTGGAATTCTTTTTTTCTCTATTTTTTGTGTTATTCCGATGAAAACAAAAGAAATAAACATGAGAATACCAAAGACTTGGTGACTGCAACACTTTTCTGGGAGAAATGGTATGTTATCTGATAGAAATGCAGGGGTGCCAGTATTTTTTGTTATGACTGTATATATACTGTATTTATTTATAGATTCATACCGGAGTGCAGTACTCAACCATGGGGTACTGCATCTTGTGTCCCTTGGCGACACGGCCCGAGAAAAAGCAGCTTTGGCAAATGTCATAGTTGAAATGTTTCAGACTCCGATATCTAAAGACAGAAACAGAAAAAGTAAGTTAGGTCAAAAAAGCAAAGAGAAAAAGGCAGAAGGTGGTGGGGGAGTGTAAAAAAAGAGCAGAAGAGAGAGCAAATAAAAAAGGACAGAACGAATGAGACAGGATCAATAAAGAGAGAAATTTATGGCTGTGTTTTCTCCAGGGTAGAAGTAGTTAAAATTCTTTCAGCCTAGCAGCTAAATGAGAAATTTATTCTCTGGCCCTGGGACTCTTCATTAAAATTTATCACCCCTCTTGTCATGAAGGGACCCACCAACAATAGAGCATACACACCTCCTTTTACAGGTCCCAAAATTTAAAATTAAAAAAGCCTCATGGGTTCAACCAGTATCTTTAGAGTTGGGGATACAAATATGACTACTCACATCATCAATCATTCATATGGCTGTTTTACTGCCTTGCTACTACTGCTGAATTAGACTAGGGTTACAAATAGGATCACAAGATTTTTCACAGCTGGAGCTCGACTATGGTAAGAGAGAGCAATCTCACTGATCAAATGGATGATGTTAATGAGTTTTTATTGGAATGATAACATCCAGTAAAATGTATTCTAGCTCACAATGACCAATGTTTTTGTAATCTTATCTTACTCTTAAACACCATTATTTTTGCCTTAAAGATCCACAATTCAGATACACTGGCCTCTCTTAACTTGCCAACTTTGTTGTAAACTTGCTCATTTAAACTTAATAGGGGTTATGCGCAACTTACTTCCGTATACTGCAAAACAGAATAATCTGTTTCCGGTTTGCAACTAGTATGAAATATGGCACTGTTCTACTCAAGATGTCTCCAAGAATTACCAAAGATGAAGATCACGGATGTCCACCGAATATGCAGTTCGACGTCTAAAACACCGGGCAGCAAGCTGGATAAGGGGTTTAAGCTATATGCTTCTTCATACATCCACGACTACGAAGATAGAGTTATGTATTGTTATCTTACAAATGGAGATGTAGCTAAGCTAGTTCGTAAGATGACTAGCTAATGTTATCGATATTTACACCGAGCATCTGTCTGGTACACCAAAATAATGTAATACACTACCGGAAAGCTAATAGTAACTAAGCTTGTGTAATGGAAATGCTAAATTCGCAAACTGCTGGGCTTCTAATTTTTCACATACCATGTCCAAGGCTGATGGTTCTGGTCTAGCATGGTCATGACACTGAAGCAGAAATCCGACGTCCATCTGTTCCTCCTCAATTTCCTCCGGCCGATGCGTTCTCTCCTACACGCTTGGTCTACTTGCAGGCAGAGAGTAGTCATTCCAGGCAAACAACACTGGAACGGCTCCTTCTTTCAAACGCTGTCGTCCACCTTGAATTACATCTGTGGAAACGAAGCGTCTGCTACACACTGTTGTCGTCCTCTTAATTACAAGATTATCACGTCGTACATTACGGATCCATATTTTTCTTAAGGTTTCATCCTTAGGGAAATCGTGAAAGCTTAAGGCTGAATTGAACTTCCCTGACATCGCGCATTGAGATACGCAGCAGAAATCACTGTTTGGATGATCCCGCTTCTGGTATTTGTGTCTTGAAAAAGACATTTTTGTTTTTTTTTTTTAATCTATGAACTAATGAAATAAAACGAGCTCAAAGAACGTGTTTCGCGTTACTACTGTTGTGTCACCCGCGTTCTTCGGAAAAGCCCGGTTTCCGGTTTGGTCACGTGACGTTCCGCATAACCCCTATACCGTGTGTTGAGCAGTCATCAGACAAAAAAAAATCTCTACTCATGGAGCCTCACATTCTGCTGCTGGAAATGAGATGACGAAAGTAATAAAGAAAGAACAGTTTGACATTTAGTCAGAAAACTAAAAATAATATCTCGACTCATGGATCCTACACATTGAGCTATGATTTGTTCAAAGTTGTCTTTTTGTCAAATAGTGCAACATGGCTCTAAACAATAATCTACTAGCAGCTCTGTGCACTCAAGCATAGCAGTGCTTTGAGCCAAATGCTAACATCAGCATGCTAAAATGCTCACAACAGACTGGGCCAACTGCCTGGCACTGGCATCCCTATAGCCAAGCTGCTAGCTTGGCTACAAGGTCTTGATCACAGTCTGTGAGACTGCATGAATCATTTTTGACACAAGCCATAGTGTGATTAATATCTGGCTGATTAGTCATTCACGTGTATTTTGAACATTCACCTACAAAGCCCAGACAAAAACTGTGAATTCTTTAAGGTATGTTTTTACTGTAAAACAAAAAGTGGTTGTGCTGCAATGGTATCACTCTACTGACCTGAATCCTATGATGGGACACTCCTTACAGATGTTACACTTGGCCTGGTGCTTGGCAGTCTCAGCAGCAGCCACACGGTGCAAGACTGGTAACCACACCATGGACTGGGGCTCCAGACGCATCCAGTCCAGGAACATGGCTGCATCCAGCTCAGGTTTGTTGTTGGCCTGGGAAAACAAAGTTACAGCAAGCATGTAAATTTAAAAAAAGCTAACTTTGATTTTTAAAACACTAATGACATACAGTAAATACAAAAACTATTTTAGAAGGTTTGCATGCCTGAGGGAGTACAAGTTTAAATGAAACATTTTGTTTAAGCCTCCTAATCACTGAAAATGAAAGTAACAGTCTTTCTGTTGGTGACAGTTTTTGAAATTATTGGTGTCTGGAACATAATTTAATGTAAAGATTTATCAGCTTTTTTTATCCCATCTATTGTCACTAGAAATGTTTGATGCTTTGAGGTAAAAACAATCAAGGAACAAGGTGATTACAGCCTCAAAATGTGACAACTCTCATATATCAAGGTTTGTATTAGTGGCTCTGTCAATTAAGGTGTGTGAAAAATGTCTTCAATAAAATTATAAACAAAGCAGGCACACTGAAGGTGAAAAATGACATGCTCATTTTGATTCCCAGGGCACTATGATTATATTCAGAAATCCCAATTTAATGCTGTCAGGTTTTCTGTTATTCCATCTCACATATACATTTTGCAGTGGCAATGGTGACAGATTTACCTTGAAAACTGGTTGTAAATATCTAAATAACAGCCCTTTAATTTCAGACAAAGGTAGACAAAAGCAGCCCAATTCTATCCACTGAGAGATGACTTTGTTGGATGTAGTGATGACGGTGTATTTTTTCCGATGCAAAAAATATAAATTGTTAATTAACCTTGTTAAAACCACAAAGGTTTCACCTTTCAGTAATAGGTGCTGTAGTGGTTGGGGGCTTGTCGTAGAATATGAAAGAAAAAAAATCCAGAGGAAC